ATCTCATGTGCAATTCCTTATAGACCCAGCTTGGTTCTTCTCCAACATCTCCTTTTGGAGTTGTACCTGATTTTATTTCCAGTTTTCATCCGAATCCACTGGGGAATGGGACAATTTTGCTTTTGTTTCTTGGCCAGGAATAGCTTAATCCTGAAAGTCTTGTGAGAAGACATGGTGAGAAGCGGAGGCAAGAACACACCACCATGGCGGAGAGACGAAAAGAGGGTGGAGGTGGAGGGGGAGGGGGAGGGGAGAGGGGAAAGAGGGGGAGGGAGGAGGAGGGGCTCGAACATGGCGGGCTGCAGGTCCCGAGCCCTGCCCCGCTGGGAGGCAGCTGAGGCCCGGCGAGAACTCTAGCACAGTGCCCTCCCCCCAGCACCTTCTGCAGCTGCTGGCCTGGGTGCTAAGCCCCTCACTGCCCTGGGCCAGTGGTGCTGGCCGGCGGCTCTGTGCGCGGGACCCGCGGAGCCCACTACCACGCCCGCCGGAACTCCCGCTGGCCCGCAGAGCGCCGGCACACAGCCCCGGTTGTCCCCCACGCCTCTCTCTCCACATCTCCCAGTGAGCAGAGGGAGGCGGCTCCGGCCTTGGCCAGCCCAGACAGGGGCTCCCACAGTGCCGTGGTGGGCTGAAGGGCTCCTCAAACACTGCCAGAGTGGATGCCGAGGCCCAGGAGGCGCCGAGAGCGAGGGCTGCTAGCACATTGTAACCTCTCAGTAAGGTGAGTCAAAATGTTCATGGAATCTATGGCAGGCCCAGCTGAAATTATAGGAGAAGCGGGGTTGGGACTACTATCAGCCCTACTTTGCAAAGGTGAAAATGAATACAAAGAGTGGTTAAGTCATACACCAAGACCCCACAGCTGATAAATGCTAGAGCTGAGTTTAAACTCAATCTGTCTGGCATTTAAGCTCTCAGACATACCCCCACACCGCCTCCTAAGATGCACCGTACACAGTCATTGTCTCGCAGGTATACATGGCATGCTCAGACCTCTGCATATACATCCAAGGCCACTGTGTTCACACACACACAGATGTTTCACTGCATGTGCACTGCCATTTTTTTTTTTTTTTTTTTTTGAGACAGAGTCTTGCTCTGTCTAGCAGGCTGGAGTGTACTCGTGCAATCTCAGGTCACTGCAACCTCCGCCTCCCAGGTCCAAGAGATTCTCCTGCCTCAGCCTCCTGAGTAGCTGGGATTACAGGTGCCTGCCACAACGTCCAGCTAATTTTTGTATTTTTAGTGGAGATGGGGTTTTGCCATATTGGCCAGGCTGGTCTTTAGCTCCTGACCTCAGGTGATCTTCCCGCCTTGGCCTCCCAAAGTGCTGGGATTATAGGTGTGCGCCACCGCACCGGCCTGCCACACTGTTTCTAGACACACATTCGTGTACACACACACAAAGCCAGGGACATGTGCATGTCCATATTCAAGTCATGCATGAAAATAACAAAAGCATATTCATTAGGGAACCATTCCAGCTTTTTTCTGGCTCTGAAGACAATGTAATTGGGCTTGCCACAGGTGGAAGATGGGAGCTACTCTGCCCGCAGGCAGAAGGCCTCCCCACTCCCTCTTCCTCCCGGCTTGATGTGGTTAGCTAATCACTGCCAAGGATGTTATTCACTTCCCTCGGGGCGGCCCCTCAAACAGACCTCTTCTTTGTCTCGCTTACCCCTGGAAATCTGCCCACCTCCACTCTCAGCCTCACATGTGCTTTCCTGAGATCTCCAGCTCTGTCTGTCACCAGCACAATGGGGATGAAATTCATTATTCTAAACTCTCGAGTCTCAGCCACGCTCTGGCAGCTGGACGGGTGGGGAGGGAAATGCCTTATTGCTGGCTTCATTGTTCACAGAGCTTGGTCATGGCCTCAGAGGTGTAGCCTCTTTTTTCCTGTTGGTTCCACCAAAAAAGGAGCCTCCGCGGGCAGTCCATGTGAGATGGACAAGTGATTGCTCCCAAAATTCCCAAACCCTCCTTTTTCCAATTCTTTGTGAGCTATAGCATGAAGATGGGGATTTTGTCATGCATTTATTCAGTGAACATATCTGAGCATCTACTGTGTAGCAGGCACTGGGGTTCTAGCAGGGTCCATTTATGTTCTTTCATTCCCAGTACCAAGCCCAGTGCTTGGCATATGGTAGGTGCTTAATTTACATTTGTTGGATGGATGGATGGATTGATGACAGACAGATGAATGTATGAATGTGCAGATGGATGGATGGATGGGTAGGTGGGGAGGTGGGTGGATGGATGTGTGGAATAAGCTCTACACAGAAGGGTGTAGGCTTATAAAGAAGATATAGTTGCCATCTCAAAGGTGTCCATTCTCTAGGAAGACTTTGCTTATGCCACCCTAGTTACACAAGCGGTAGAAGCAAGGGATGGGGGTAGGAAGAGAGAGTTAGGGAGGCAGGTGTCACATCTGGCTGGGACATTTCAGACAGAACATTGGGGGAAACCCTTCCCAACCACTTCAAGCCCAGTAGGAGGAGCAGTGCCCATCCCGACACTTCATGAAAATAACCAGCCCAAGCGGCCTTATTAGGGGTGACCACAGGGCCTCAGGGGCCCCTGGGGTGGGAATTGTCATCATCTGGTTAGGCCAAGGTGCCCTCAGAACAGCAGTCCTTCAAGGTGTCCACCGAGGCTGTGGGTCCACTGTGCTTTAGCAAGTCACAGCAGGTGGACACACTTCAGAGTGCCCACTTCATCAGGCCACCCCACTGCAGCATCCTCAGTTCACTGGGCTTCAGCCTCCACACACCGCCTTTCAGCTCATGCACCCTTCTTCCATGTGTGCCCCTCCTTCCCCACCCGCACCCATCCTCAGCAGGGGCACACCAAATCAGGTGCTGTCAGTGCCTAGACCTGCCCAAACCAGATCCAGTTCCAGGCCACCCTGGACACAGAAAGCCGGGCCAGATCCACTGCCTTGAAATCCAGTCTGATTTTTAGTAACAGGAACACCGAGGCAGGTGGGTGCCTCCAGGGCCCCCGAGTGTCCCGGTAGAATGGCTGGAGACCGAGTGTCCCCATACATGGACGGCACAGCCACATTCAGCTGAGGATTGGAACCTGCTCAGAATGTTTGTTTCCTGTTTAATCGGTGGGAGTAAAGAGTCATGGATTCCAACCAAAATACATTCCACTCCTTCAGCCCTGGTGTGTCAAAATTGCTTCTCTCCGAAGCTCAAATCTCAGGGTTGTGGGAGCCTGTGGTGACTGGCAGGCTGATAGCCCACAATACCGGGTCCGAATCACCCCATTGGCCTCCACCTGCCAACCTTGGAAAGAAATGCAGGGTAAGGACAAGTGAGTCTAAAAATGCAGCTCTTTCTCCCAATCCCTCTCAAAACTCAAGTTTTGACTTCTGAGCTGTGAATAAGGATCTCATTCAGCCAAAGTTCCTTAAGGTTTCTTGCTGCACCCACAGGGGTTCGTGTGCCGGCTTAGAAGGTTGCCATGGAACTTCAGCAGCCAACCACCGAGGAAGGGAGGGGGAGCTGCCGCCCACGCAGAGGCCCCCACTTCTGGCTGGGGGCCTGCCTGGCCCTCCTCAGCCCTCTCCCGCGCTCTCCTCTCATCTGGCCCATTTCAGGCCTGTGCCACCAGCTGCAGACAGCCTGGCCTCCCGGGGTCCCACTCACCACTCACTCACCTCCATCTCAGAACAGCCCGTCTTGGCGCCACCCTACCTTGTCCCCTGCTCCGATGTTGCCTCCATGACCACATCTTTCCTTTCCTACAACACACAGAGCACCGCTAGGGCAGGGGCTAAGATGTTTCTCCTCTCCCATTGGGGGTAACTGACAAACGTACCTTGGCTTTCTAAGCCGATTCCCTGAGGGCTTGTGTCGCGTGTATAAATCTGCAGCCAAAATGCCAGTGCTCCCAGACTGTCAGTTTCTTTTTTTTTTTTTTCTTTTCTTTTCTTTTCTTTAAAGCAAACTAATCTCCCTCTGAGCTCCTGTCTTCGGGAAATCAGACTGCCACCCTTGTCAGAAGTGTCCTGGGACCGGCGGGAGTAAGGAGTCAGGAAAGCTGGCATCTGAGGTGCAGTTCAACCAGCTAGCTGTGGGTCCTCAGGCAAGTCAGTTCACCTCTCCGAGCCTGAGTGTATAAAGTGGGAATTGGTGTGCAAGTATACACACACATGCCCGAGATAATGGGTTACAGTGCTTTGTAGTTTGAGGCAGAAGGTAAGTATGAACTATTGTGCTAATAATTACAACAGAAAACTGAAGAGTATTTCCACATTTCTGCTTTGGGTTGTGTCTCCTCTGTATTCCCTCCCCCTCCATACGTTTTCTTCTGAAGGTCAGTTGCATGATCAGTTACCAGAAGTGGCAGGCTGCAGGAGCTGTAATCCCAGCTAAGAAGTGGCTGGCCCACGGCTCTGAGTGATGGCTTCACAAACCTCACCGCATTCCATTCTGTAACAGTCTCTGAGCTGCGGGCCAGGGCTCTCACCATCCCCATTTCACAGCTGAGCATACTGAGGTTCAGAAGGATGAAAGGACGCGCTCAGGATGCGCCACTGCTAAGACGCAGATGAAATCGACACTCAGGTCCAGGAAGCGGGAGGAAGGAGCCGCACAGAAAGAAACATAAGCTGCCTTCAGGTTCAAAGCACAATTGTTTTGCTTTTGTTTTTAGACCTTCTGCAAAATGAGCAAAACTCATCCAGAACAATGTCCACAGGCCCCTGATGGCTTCCCAGGCCTCACTGAAGCAAGGAAGGGTGTGCATCTCAGTCCACTTCCCCTGAGAATCCAAATTCCTCACTGTTTCTTTTCTTTTTCTTTGTCTTTACTTATTCCAAATATGTTCAAAATGGAACTATAAAATACCATTATTTTATCCAAATAAGTAATTTTTTAAATTCCATCTTAGAAGAGCTTCTAAACATTTCCAAAGGCCTTTCAAACTTTCTCCCTGTAAGGCTTTGTACCAGGCAACCAAATCCTTCCGGACTTGTTGAATGCAGACAGTGAGAGAGCCAGTGAGTGGATGCTGGTGTTGTCTCTTCGCTTCCTCCTTCCTCCTCCCCCGACTGGCCCCCACCAATCTGTCTGGTGGATGCTGAGTGATCATTTTGCGGATGGCTTTGAACTTGGCTTCTCGAGGGAAAGCTGGTATGAGAAAATGAGAATCTCATTCAGATGGGCTTGCAGTTTTTCTTCCCCTAGCGAATTCTTGTCTTATTTCCATCCCCCTTGATTCCTTTGCAAAAAACTGCAGCCGTCTTTTCTCCCTTCTTTGCCTTAGTTGAATTAACTTAATTAGGGCACTTGCTTTTGACAATGCTGGGAGATTTTTAGATACTGAACTGTCCTCAGGAGACCACAGGAAGGCTGACGCACTGTCTGCAATTATCAGGCTAATCACTCAGAACACACTCGTTTGTTTTATGTATTTATATCTTGGGATATAAACCTTCGTTTCCATTTCTCTTTCATTCTGCTGTGTGTGCCAGGCAGAGTGAGGCACTGTGGGCAAGAGAAGAGCCCTGCCCTTATGGAGAGCAGCTGGCCAGACAGACCTTAAACACATGATAACACACAGAAACATGTAATTACAGGGAGTGAAGAATGCAACAAAGAAATAATACTTTGAAATATTGCCTTCTCTTTCTGGAGTTATTTGGAATACAGCCAATCAGAGCATAGCTCTAAGACCAAGAGTAAGTGATGCCTTTTGAAATATTCTGTTTGAAATCAGAGCCCTTCCCCACTGCAGTCAATTGTGGGCGCAAATATTCCTTTTGTTCATAGACCGCATCCTGTGTTCCCCAAGGCCCCACCCTGAGCTGATCCCAGGATGACCTAGAAGAGGCATGTTTTACTGAAATCGTTTCTAAAACTTGCACTAAAGCTACACTATCTGAACACACAGTAAGGACACACATTTTCAAGTTTCTCTTTGGGTCACAGGTGTGCTGCTTTCTACGTCAGTTTGTCAGCGAAACAAATCTTTTAGTGTCGGGAAGAAAAGCAGCAAGATGAAAAAAAAAAAAAAAAAAAAGATATTTCAAGATCAAATTCTTCATCCTACTTTTCTGACTTGCCAGAAACTAACGACATTTTTCCTAGCAGTGACTGGCAACCACTCCGAAAGCTTCACCAAATTATTACTCCTTCCTTTATTTTTTTGAAAAAACAGGCAGTGTATTTAGTTGTCATTGGTTACAACCAAATTTCTCTAAATATTTCAGTGCATCTCAAAATACTATATTGATAAGTTCAAGTCATAAAAAACTGCATTGGGAGTTTTGGAAAATTTAGTGGTAGGATTATGCATGTTTTTCTTCCATGTGAGTTCTCCTCTGAAGGCATGTTTATTTAAAGAAAAATTGTGGTATTTGGAAGATTGAAGACTGACTTCTAAACTGTGCTGACTTCAAAAAGACCGACTTTCGGCCAGGCACAGTGGCTCATGCCTGTAATCCCAGTACCTTGGGAGGCTGAGGAGGGAGGATTGCTTGAGCCCAGGAGTTCAAAACCAGCCTGGGTAATACAGCAAGAAAAATTTTAAATTAACTGAGTATGGTGGGTCACTCCTGTAGTCCCAGCTACTTGGAAGGCTGAGACAGGAGAATGGCTTGAGCCAGGGAGGTTGAGGCTGCAGTGAGCTATGATCATGCCCCTGCACTCCAGACTGGGTAGCAGAGTGAGACCCCATCTCAAAAAATAAGAAAGACCTGCTTTTTTCTCCTTCTATCCAGTGCCATCGAATTAGCTGTTCTTGGAAGGGAGGGCACATCCCAAACTGGGGGTCACAAGGTGATTTGGGAGGTACAGGTGGCATCAAAACCACAGATACACACACTGACAGAGCCATTCATTTTTAGTCCTTTGCTTGGCCCAGGAGAGTCCCCAGTGGGGACTAGTCAGTTTTGAGCACCTCCACAGTGCTGCCACCACCCTTTTTAATAGAGAGAGTGTGTAGCTACGGCATCAAACTGGAATTTCATAACATCAGCTTTCATTGTTTTTATGACCGTTGCCTTCCACATAGGTCGAAGGGCACTGGTTTGTCACTGATGGTTATGACTTGATGCTTCCTTTTGAAAATAACTGTATGTTTTCAAAAGTGTGTAAATGTAAAAGAAAGGATTAAGTAAATAATGGCACAGATATGGCAGGTGAGATGCAAATGGCAGGTTTGGGGAAAAGGGCAATCAATAAAAATAAAAGTCAGCTTGGCTCTCCCGCTCTCCCAACGCTGCAGCTCAGAGGAAAACTAAAATTAATTCCTTTTGCAGCATGATGGAGAAAAAAAGCATCCAGAAGGAAATTCATCAAACCATTAAAAGTGATCTCCCCCAGGGAAGGGGCTTGCAGTCAGGGGGAACACATTCACATTTCACTTTAAACACATCTGGATTATTTGAATTTTTGTATTGCATAGAAGTTAACCCTTTGTCTGACATCTTGGTTATAAATGTTGTTCTTGGAATGCCTTTTGTTTATTGCCTTTGTGATCTCTTGGGCAGGCAAAACTTCTCAACTTCATAAAATGAAAAAAAAAAGAAAATCCATCTTTTCTTTATAGCATCTGGGTTTCCAGTCTCAGAGAGGAAGGCCCCTAGATTGGCCCCTAGGTTGTAACTACAGTATCACACATTTCTTGCAATACTGTTATGGTTATTGTGTTACTTGTAAGTATTTAATTCTTCTAGAATTGATTTCTGTATCCATGGACCATTGGTTCCATTTTCATGTTCTCCCATTTGTCTTGAACATCAGCTCTCTCCATATATACCTCTGAGTTCTAAGGGCAGTTACATATCACTTCCTGCTTCACTAATCTAGTTGCCTGTCACAACACCAATACTGACTTGGTTACAGGACCTTTAGAGCCTGTACTAATACCTGGATAGGTAAATCCTCCATCACTCTTCTTATTTTTCACATTTCCTAGCTATTCTGAAGGCATCTCTTCTTCCATATGAACTCTAAGATCATATTTTTATTTCAGTATGCATTATCTCAATAATTTTTAAAAAAATAAAATATTTCATTATTTAAAAGGGGGCCGGGTGTGGTAGCTCATGCTTGTAACCCCAGCACTTTGGGAGGCCGAGGCGGATGGATCTCTTGAAGTCAGGAGTTCGAGACCAGCCTGGCCAACATGGCGAAACTCTGTCTCTACTAAAAATACAAAAATTAGCTGGGCGTGGTGGCGAGCACCTGTAATTCCAGCAACTTAGGAGGCTGAGGCAAGAGAATCGCTTGAACCTGGGAGGTGGAGGTTACAGTGAGCCGAGATTGTGCCACTGCACTCCAGCCTGGGGGACAAGAGCAAAACTCCGTCTCAAAAAAAAAAAAAAAAAAAAGTTGGGGGAGGCGACACCACCAGATGCTGGTGAGGACAGGAGCACCGAGAGCTCTCACTCATGGTTGGTGGGAATGCAAAATGGTGCAGCCACTTTGGAAGACAGTTTCACAGCTTCTTGCAAAGCTATACATATTCTTTCCATACCACACAGCAATGGTGCTCCCTGATACTTACCCAGGGGATTTGTTTAGAGCAGCTTTCATCATAATTGCCAAAACTTAGAATTCACCAAGATGTCCTCAGGTTGGTGAATGGATGAACTGTAGTGCGTCCAGGCACTGGAGTATTATTCAGTACTAAGAAAGGAATGAGCTATCAAGATAGGAAAAGATGTGGAGGAAACTGATGGCATATTACTAAGTGAAAGAAGTCAGTCTGAAAAGCACACGCGCTGTATGATTCCAGCTCTATGACCACAGTAAGGAGGCACAAAGAGAAGAAAGAAAAGATGCTCAAAAGACACACACACACACACAACTAGGCAGGCGAGTGTCCCGCTCTGGTGGGGGGTGTTGACAGTGGGGGAGGCTGTGCCTGTGTGCAGGCAGGGGTTTATGGAAAATCTCTGTGCCTTCTACTCAGTTTTGCTATGAACTTGAAAAAATAAGGTCTTTTTTTTTTTTAAAGGGAGGGAGGGATATTTTAAATTATCTCTTTCTTTTATATCAAAAGCTAAGCTATGCCACCATCTGAAACAGAAAGTGGCTGAGGGTACATCTGTCACTTGGACCTCTTCTGCTCACAACCTCCCTGAACTGGTGGCCAGGGAAGGCAGTGGGAGGGGAGGACCAAGTCTCAAACTCCAGAAGCCTCACCTCCCTGAGCCCAGCTCCTCCGCCAAGCCCCCTCAGGTAAGCCAGCAGGGAGGCGGTGGGGGGCTCTATAGAGTGAGCACTTCTCAGCCAGTTTCCTGGCTAGGAGCCCAGCAATTCTTGCTAGAACCCTGTGGATGTGGTGCCAGTTTGAATAAGAGTCAGCTCTGGCTGATTCTTGCAGACAAAGTGAGGTGGAGCTCTCTCTCTGAGGGTTCTACCGCGCACAGGACTGCAGGTGGGAAATCGCTCTCAGGAAGGACAGAGGGAGGAAAATGTTGACAGTACAGATAAAAGGGGTCAAGTTCACAGGACTTTGACCATGTCCCAGGCATTGTGCTGTGCCTGCGCTCCTGTCATCCCCCCATTCTACAGAGAGCTATTCAGAGAGATGAATTCTTTCACCCATGACCACCCAGCTTACGGGGGCACTTGGAGCTCACCTGTCCGCTCCAACCCCTTATCACTGCTCAGTGCAAGAGTAAGGCAGTACACCGCCGGCCCCACCCTGGAGGAAAATACTCGGCTCGGAATCTGCACCTCTCCCATGCGGATATTTACAAACAAAAGAACTCAGCACTTCCAGCCACGAGTGTTGCAAATACATACACAAAAATGACTGAGCATGATACATCATTTGAGAAGCAAAGGGGATAATGCTGCATTAACTATGAGAGTTTGCATCTTCCAGCAGACAAAACAAAAAATGACAGACACTCTTTCTAAATGTTTTTGCATCCAACCCAGTTCCGTCCAACTCTTTGCCATTGTTTAAAAGATGTTGAAGCTTCCAAGTGCACAGCTCAGGAAAGTTTTCATCCCGTCCCATCCTGTGTGTTGCAGCGCAAAGTCCTCGTCCAGAGAAGACAATGGCGAGAAACAAATCCAACATCCTGGGCTGCTTTTCCTTTCCCCACTTTTTAAAAGTTTAGTGTCCAAGTCGCTTGACAAACCCAGACCCTAGCAATGATATTTTGTGC